GTTTGACCTTTGAAAAAAAGGGAAAAAAGGCCAAGCGCATGCGTTGGGGAAGAGCAGCTGCGCTGCTGACGGGACGACATTGCAAGGTAACATTGCATGGCCATGATTTTGTTCTTTCATTACGTTGCAATTTGAATGGAGAAATATGATGAGGCCATTAGGCAGGTGGGGTTTTTCGAACAAAAAAAAACAATATTAATAATTTGATGATTACCCAAACAGCACTGCGAGCTTGGTGCCGCAGCATTGCGGCAAAAGATAATTAAGCCGTTTATTTCTGGCCAAGCAACATTACGATACTCTAGTGTTTGGTGGCCGAAAAAATATATATTAGTTTAATTGTGATGCAGTACTGTTTCGGCTCAAGCAGCTAGCATTGGGATTTAGGTTCACAGGGCTGGTGATTATTGTATATTGGTGCTTTGTTCCATTCTTTTGAACAACATTGATGAGTTGTCTCGGCGGCCCTCATAATCAGCATTGCTCAAGTCTAGGCGAATGCCGTGGAGGTGTTTGCCACACCATTGTTGGCGCAAAAGAATAAATAAGAAAATATATATGTATATCAAAGCGCCACCGTTTGGTCCAAAGCAACATGGAGTGGTTATGAAGGAAAAATAAAGCATCACTGGAATAGTTAGTGTTGCGAGCTACTACAGCAATACTGCGTTGAAAGTAGCCAAAACAGCTACGTTTGGGCCATTGTATCGACAACTAGAATGAGTGGAAGAAAAAACAAAAAAAAGAAGGCGGCAAAACTGGTTTGGCCCAAACAACATTGCGGAGTTGCGCTGGGAGGAACCACACAGCGCTATTGGTTTTGATTAAATATATATGTATTTGTTTTTTTAAAGCAATGTTGTTTTGGGCCAAACAACATTAATTGCGAGCTTGCTGCTGCCGCATTGCTGTTACAGTAGGAGGAAAATCATCGAGAAAAAAAAAATACCAAAGCAGCGTTGCAGGAGAGTTAAACTATCCGCAGTACTGCGTTGGCGGCCATGGGTTTAGAGACCTCGTCTTGGGATTATTCTAAAAGCCAACGTTTTATTTTATCTTTATTCCAATCAATGCTGTATGTGGAAGAAAAAGAAAAAGTTCCCACGCAATCACTTTGAGTGGTGAGACAACATTGTTTTGCTACCAATAAGTGTGATTTGCATGAATGAAATTATTTTAGGTGATTTGTTTACGTCAATCACTTAGTTGATAAGAATTCATTCTTATAAACTAAGTTGTGGGGCATTTGTTGACACCTAAAAATAATTTGGCTTGAATTAAATGCCGCATTAATTAGTCTCGGCGTTTAATTCGATACTGCAGGACAAAAAACAGTGTCGTTTGGAGTTGAGCGGTATCGCGAAAAGTTAAAACAATATCGCGGATCAAAAAGCGGTACCGCAAGGAAGCTCAGCGGTACCGCGACACAGAAATCGACACCGTCGGAAAACAAGATGGGGCAGCGCGTTTTGGTATTGGTGTTGGAAAAGGAGTTTTTATTATTATTATTGTTATTCCTTGTCGGAAGGGGAGAAGCGGTACCGCGAGTAGGCCCAACGGTGCCGCGGTACTAGCAAACGACAGTGTTGAAAATAAACAGTGTCGTGGAGGAAAAAACAAACGGAGCTGATTGGGGAAGAAAACGACACCGCAAGGCTAGAAGCGGAGTTGTTTAATAATAAAACGATGTCGTGGGTAGAATCAAGCGGTGCTGTTTAGCTAAAAACGACACCGCTAAAGGCCTCAACAGTGTCGCGGTATTACTAAGTGACACCGTTTAATCAAAAAACTACACCACAACGGGTAGGATTTTGGTGAGGTCGGCACGCCAAGCCCAACGGCACCGCAAGACGAGAAAACTGTACCGTTTGGTAGAGAACAATGTCGCAGAATGAAAAACGACATTGTTTGATGGGACCGGGATGGAGTAGTTCAAGGTCGACATCGATTAGTGAAAAGCGACGCCGCGGGAGGTATCGACGACACCGCGGTATCATAAACGATATCGTTTGATTAAAAAGGTATCACAATGGTTAAGAGCTCGACCAAGGGTGGCCCGCTAAGTCCAACGTCAATGTTATCCCAAAGCAACATCGTCATCGTAGCTTTGTTCCACGTGAGATTCGCGCAGAATCAAAATCGAGGCGGTTGAGACACGTGGGAGTTCACGACAGAGCAGTTGAGGAGGCGGTTCCACGAAGCGTTAAGGCTACGCAGATGATTTCAGATAAAATCGTCGGAGCAAGGAGAGAGAAAGGACAACCAAAACAACACTGAAACACATCTATCAAACTTATCTTTTTCTCTGTAACTCCTTCGCGGAGCTCTCCTTCCAGGAAGGATCTCCATAGTTGCAGTCTTAGTCGTAGTCGCGGAGCTCTCCACAGGAATCTCCGTAGGAGTAGCGGTAACGTAGATTCCCCAAAACTCAAACACCCTCGGTCGAACGTAGTTTGGAGAGGTGTGAACCGTAGTAACGGTCGCGTTGGTTAGAAGTCAGAGGTGCATCGATTAGATCAACATCGCCCGACGGTGGATATTTGACGGTCACGTTGATTTCACCATTCAGAGGTGCATCGATCAAATAAACATCGCACGGCGGTGGATATTTGACGATCGTCATCGTTTTCAGAAGTCAGAGTTGCACCGATCAAATAAACGGCGCCGACATTCGGCGGCGGATATTTGACGGTCGTCTCGATTTCAGCTATCAGCGGTGCATCCGATCAGCGGCACCGCAAGAGTTTCCACCGCGAAACATCAAATCAACATCGCCGAAGACAAAGTTCGGCACCGGCATTTGGTTTTCCCGGGAAACACAGGGTGAATTTCTATTAGAGAAAAAGGAGCAATGATGCAGTGGTCGAGAGTGATTTGGAGTAAGTATCCATTGCCTACGTATAGATATCTTGCATGACATATTATATTGAATAGTATAACCACTCGTGATAAGCTAAAGGATTGGGGAAGAATTGTCGATGCTTCATGTGTGCTTTGTAATAGTGCAAGTGAGAGCAGAAATTATTTGTTTTGTGCTTGTCAGTATACTCTGCAGTTCTATGATGCAGTCTTTGGCCGAGAAGTGCAACTATGGCCTTGGAATTTAGAGGGATTTCTGAGCAAAACGTGTGCGAAGTGAAGAAGAGTGGCATTTATGGAAGAGTTTTTGCTGCAATTTGGTGCTGGGTTATGAGTCTTCTCTGGAAGGAATGTTGCAAGTGTGTTTTTGGTGGTTGTCATAGTGATTAGCCAGCTCTATTTGCCCAGTTTAAGCAAGATTTTTGTTGTTGTTTTTCATTAGGTCAAAATGTATTTAGAGAGGAGGTATCATGTGTACCATCCTTTAGAGGTTTATTGTAGTAGTAATTAGACTTGATGTGATCTGATTTGTGTGCTCGATCGGTCCACTTTTTTGGGATGTTTGATCGGTTTGATCAAGAGAGCTTAATAGAAAGTGATGATTATCAGGGAGGAAAATATGCAATCGCCGTGGCGTTGGCGTCGGTGGAGAAGAAAATCCAAAACTCTCTCACAAACGCCTCCCTAGCCGTGGTCTCGCAGCAGAGATTCGTCATAACCCCGGCCATGATCACTTCTTGGACGCCCAACTCCTTCAATTTCTCCTACAACCTGTTTTCGCAAGGGCGTTATAGCCTAGGTGCTCTTCTCGATGATGACCTCGGCTTTGCATACGACACATTATTTTCTACTCTATTTTCGCATAACTCATCACCTAAACTTTATTGTCAATATTATTTCATTATTCTTTTATTCCTTAATTTTTCATGACTTATTATGTTACACTATTCCTCGGATTATTTCCCTACTTTTATCTTACTCTCAACATCAATACTGAGGAGGCCTAATGAAATAACTAAATATATAAAATTATTAATTTTCATGATTACTCATAATTATCAACTAAACATATTTCTTTTTGTTTCCTCATTTTCACTTCTTGGACGCCCAACTCCTTCAATTTCTCCTACAACCTGTTTTCGCAAGGGCGTTATAGCCTAGGTGCTCTTCTCGATGATGACCTCGGCTTTGCATTCGACAAATTATTTTCTACTCTATTTTCGCATAACTCATCACCTAAACTTTATTGTCAATATTATTTCATTATTCTTTTATTCCTTAATTTTTCATGACTTATTATGTTACACTATTCCTCGGATTATTTCCCTACTTTTATCTTACTCTCAACATCAATACTGAGGAGGCCTAATGAAATAACTTAATATATAAAATTATTAATTTTCATGATTACTCATAATTATCAACTAAACATGTTTCTTTTTTTCCCCTCATTTTCATGGTGTTTTGCTTGTATCTCTGTTGTCACATGAGGAATTTTACAATGCTATATAGCATTGGTGCTATAGGTTTCTGCATTTATGGTACAACTTTAAATTGTATTTTTAATGTTATGGTACAACTTCAGATTGTACCTATACTTTTTGTACAAATTCTTTTATGGTACAACTTAAACTTGTACCTTATGTGATGGTACAATTTCAAGTTGTAAAGTTGTACCATAATATAATGATACAAATTCTTTTATGGTACAACCTAAACTTATACATTTAATGTTATGGTACAACTTCAAGTTTTACATTAAAGCACCAATGCTATATAGTATAGTAGAAGTGCTCGTTGTCACAGTGGTACGGCAATCACAACAACAAAATTATACTAAACCGAGCCGAAAACATTGGTGGAGGTTTAGGTTTAGGGCATGGTCCATGAAACCGTACCGGATATTATACCGAAAAAGTCAGCGGTATGATATTTTATGATAAAACCGTGGTTTAACCATATTTCAACCGTTAGACCGTTAAATATCGCCTACCGGTTTAACCTCCGATACTGGTATTTCGTGGTTGAACCGCCGGTACGGTACGGTTTCATGGACCATGGTTTAGGGCCCGAAAGGCTGTCCATAGTAGTTTCGGTGGTGGACCATTGGTTTATATCCGGCCCGCTCGGTGCTTATGAAACAACGCCACATCCACAACCGACGCTCCTTCCGATTTCTAGGGATTTCAATTTCAGGGAAGATCAAATTACTGGAGAGGAAGAGCACAGAGTAAGCAGAAGCTGCCGGCGCGATGTCCTACTTGCTGCCGCATTTGCACTCTGGATGGGCCGTCGATCAGGCCATCCTCGCCGAGGAAGAGCGCCTCGTCGTCATCCGATTCGGCCACGATTGGGATGAGACCTGTATGCAGGTTCCTACCTTCTTCCCTATGCTTCCTTCCTCTCCTCACCCTAACACTTGAAATCACCCTCGAATTTCGATTGGGAACCAATTGTTGCATGTTTGAACCTGGGTTATGATTGAAATTCCGGCGTTGACTCGTCTTGGCTTGGTTATCCTAGGGTTCCCCTTAGAACCGCCTTTGTTTCCGGTGATTGTTCATCGTTGCAGCGGGATTCTATTATTTCTGAGTATCCTGTGGTTTGGGCATATGATCAGGATTGTAGCCTTCCTTCCGGTCATCCTACCAAGAGAATAGATTGCTCTGGTTTGGTTGCTATCCAACTTCTGGAGAATTCACTGATCATATATTACTACTATGGACCTAATACGTTATAGCTTCAGGGTCCTTAATCTTTTATCGAAAACGGTGCAATGGTGTTTGTTGCTTAACTTAACTATATTGATTAGATGAGTTCATTGGGATATTCAGTGTCCCCCCCCAAAGCATATTTTATATCGGTTTGTTTGAAGGTAAATTTCTCTGTTGCTTGAGGGCGAAAAATCGTCTTTTGAGTGTCTCGCTTTGAGGGCGAGTGTTTATGCCCTTTCATGTCTTGTTTTGTCTAATTGTGGTGCTATGTGGTTGATTAACTTTTATGTCTTGACTTTTTTTGGTTATCTGGGTTCTGAGAGATTGTTTCTGCCTTTGTGGTGGTCTGGTGGCAGATGGATGAAGTGTTGTCCTCTGTTGCTGATACATTGAAGAACTTTGCGGTGATATACCTGGTGGACATCACCGAGGTGCCCGATTTCAACACCATGTACGAGCTGTACGATCCATCAACCGTCATGTTCTTCTTCAGGAACAAGCACATCATGATCGATCTCGGCACTGGAAACAACAACAAGATCAACTGGGCTCTCAAGGACAAGCAGGAGTTTGTTGACATTGTGGAGACGGTCTATCGGGGAGCGAGGAAAGGGCGTGGTCTCGTCATTGCTCCCAAGGACTACTCCACCAAGTACCGGTACTGAAAGAGTTCTGCAGCAGGAACTGTGGATTGTTATCTGTACCAGGTGATACTGGACGATTCCTCAAATGCTGTTATATTGCCAAATATTGCTACTGATGTATTGTTGCATTTGAACATTTGAACCAACATGGAATGTTGTAATGATGTCTTTTAATGCTTATGTCGTGGAGACAGTCTATCATGGACATCATCTTGTTTCTCGAAACACCTTTTCAAGAGTCCAGCCCTTTGAGTTTGTTACATTATGTGAATACCACATTGATACTATAGTGTTTCCAATGATATGGTCAGTACAGAACTAGGTTAGGGTTCTCCTTAGCTGGCAACAATGCTCGCTTCCGTGAACAGTGGTGATAGTATCGGTCATCATTCGGTTTACGGGTAGTAGACTTTTGGTGCTCAATGCTAGTCATACAAGGCTGCTTACTAGCAACGGTTCTGTTCGCTAGACCTCAATTATGTTAGTAGTGTTTGAGGTCTGTGAATGTTGGAGTCTCAGTTACCTGATCTGATGACTCGCCTTTCTTGCTAGTTGATGATGATGGAAAACCTCGAGTCGATGGCTCGCATTATTCATCCCAGCAGGGACGGTGCCAGCTTGTTGTCTAAGATTTAAATTCAGTTTAACTTGATAATTCTCGATTGTTGTATCCTATACTAAGTTGTAATAGTGCTGGCCCTAGCATTCTTCTGTATTGCAGGTCAGCTGTTCGAACCACATCGTTGTGCTTTTTTTTTACTGCTCACACAGGTGTCTATTTTATGATTGCTTTGTTAATATTTCATAATGCTTCCTAATTCTGTTAAATTGACTGTTAATTTAGTGATGTGGCAATTAAAAAATGATAAATAAAATAAATTTAATCTATTTTAATGTTCAACTCATTTTTATCATAAAATAAAAAAATAAAATATTATTTTTTGGGCAAAACCTGCTTTCATCCCACATCTGGTCGGAATGGGACTCTACCACCATTTCCATCCCGAGCTCTACAGGATGGAAGGTGTCAAGCTGGCGGCCGCGAAATCTTTATCTCCATGCTGAAATCCCTTAATTCCAACAATGGCCTACTTCGAGTTCCTCCCTATTCACCGTAACAACAACAATGGGGTTTCCAATTCCATCTCCATGCCGAAATCCCTCAAAGAGAAGGAGCAGCAAGAGCTCGTCGACCTCGCCGACGTCAAGCTCGGCCACGAGTACGAGCTCGTCGTCATCGACCTCGTCGACGTCAAGCTCGGCCACGAGTACGAGCTCGTCGTCACCACTTACACTGGTACTAAAAAAATCCCAATTTGAGGAAATCAGAATTCTTGGAATTGAGTTATTCTTGCTCTGTTTTGGATCTTAATTTTTTTTGTTCGCGATCGTGGTTGCAGGGTTGTACAGGTACAAAGGTGGGGGACGTGCTGCGAGTTGCAGGGTTCAAGAACAAGGCGTCGCAGTTCAACTTCATATGCACGAAGAACGTGGTGTTGAGCATCGACGCAGACAAGACCAACGAGGTGGAGGCCTAGGGATGGCAATGGGGCGGGTTTGGGGCGGGTTTGCCTAAACCATCCCCATCCCCATCTTCAAATACCCAAATCCATACCCGCCCCATACCCATGCGGGGGAATGTTTTGCAAACCCATCCCCATACCCGTGGGTTTCGGGTACCCATGGGTAATACCCATCCCCGTACATCCAACATTATTATACTTAAAACTTACAAGAAAAGTTTTAATTATAACCATAAACAAACCTATTATATCACGAAGTCAACAAAACACGGTCATTTTCTAAATACGATTCAAATAATATGATCCTAAAACATCCATTAATACATAATATAGACTATAATATTTTTTAAATTATTATGATCTAACTCTTGATACATTTACTGAGTAATAATTAACTAACATAATTTTGTTGACAAGGGGGAAAGTGAAAGAGTGGAAGGAGAATTGAGGGAAATTAATTAGGTTTTGATTAAGGTGGTTACTCAATTGCATTTCTACTATTTATTTTCTCGAGTTATCATCATCATCATTGATAGATTACAATTTAATCCACGTATTTTTTGATATGTGAAGAAATTCTCGTGGTGGGGCGGGTATGGGTATGGGTATGGGGCGGGGGAGGCTAAAACCATACCCGCCCCATACCCATCAAACCTTTTGCGGGTTTTACCCATACCCGCCCCATACCCGGTCAAAGCGGGGATTCCCCGGGTTGACTGGGTATGGGGCGGTCGGGTACCCGCGACCATGGGTTTGATTGCCATCCCTAGGTGGAGCTGCAGAGCGCGGTGGACGCCCATCTGGCGGTGTTCGACGGGAGCGTGGCGGAGTACACGAGCTATGCGGACACGACGACGGCGGTTTTGGGGGACTATGTGTTGTACCGGGAACTGAGCTTGAAGGGGACGTACGACAACAGTGTCTTTTTCCTGTTGAGTGCACTCTTTGCAGTAGTACGCATCATATATGCCCACTCCCCCGCAGATCACACAGCGACCCTGGAACGATCCGTAGTTGCACTCATCGCAAACTCACACCAACGTGCAAGGGCGCACATTGGAGTCGCAAATCACACATTTGCCATTGCATTTCTCGCAGAGTTGCCTAATGGCGATGCCCGGCTGCTTCTTGCACATGATTAAATCAGGATGATGCTTGGCCATGGCTGCTGCTGCTTTTACTCTACTACAGGTTTCGTTCTGCTGCAACCATCCATAAACCTATTTTGTAAGCGAACATTGTTGTCACCAACATAGATGAAAGCGGCACATCCCTAATAGAAAAATATTATTTTATTTTATATATTTATTTTATGGTAAAAATGAGCTGGACATTAAAGTGGATTAAATTTATTTTATTTATTATTTCCTAATTGCCACGTCACTAAGTTAACGGTCAACTTTGAGAGTTGACTGCCACATCAGCCAAAGTTAACGGAGTTAGACGAAGAGTGACCAAACGTGAACGGTTTCAGTAAACTGAAGTATCATCAATGAATTTAAATATTTCGAGTGACCAAACTTGAACGTTTTTTTGTAGAAGAGATATGCAAATAAATATGGTCAATTAGCTGGATCCCGTCCGTGAATAAACTCATTTTTTCTTGACCATTTCATTAACTGTCCATCGGTGAGATATGTTTATCCCCATTTAATTTAGCAGACTTAATCTCTTCTGTTTTATGTAGTAATTCAATTTTTTAATAAAAAATTAGATTAATTATACTATTCAAAATTACATCCAATTGAATATATTTGAAAACAAAATAAAAAATTGAGACATTTATTACCCATATGTATTATGGTGGTAATGCTTCATAGTACATAATATTATATCATTATAGTAAGAACTAGCTTATTACCCGGCTCGTTGGCCGGATTACTGTATGTTACCCACTTGTGAAATGGGAGAGAAAGCAAGTGAGAGTGAAGGGATTGGGATTCCACTTGATTAGGACCGACCCATTAATCCGATTCTTCCCGACCCGCCCCAACCTAAAGGGTTAGAAAGAGTCAATAAAAAAATACGAACGGAGAGGATTAGTCATATATCTTGACTCTTCAGAAGTGGGTCAAACAAGATCAAGGTTGGGTGAGGGCAATTTTTGCGCTAAGCAGAGTTCTGGGTTGAATAACTTACTTAGGCCTAGAAATTGGTGCTGATGCAGACTGCAGTTTTTATTATACCATCATCAATCATCATTGAATTAGTCTTGGGCATCCCTCCCCGTTGTCGGTCTGAATTCTAATGATGGCTTCATTCCTTGCACCAGCCATATCAACGAGTTGTCATCTCGAGCATGATTTGCCTATGTACAAATGATACAATTAGAGTATGAAACTGAATTCAAAGAAAAGGAAAAGAGAATTCTATCACATGCCAATAAATACACACATAATAGTTGAAGCTAAGTGAAAGTCATTACTCGCACATCAATTCTAAAAAATTACAGACTAAACAATGGCTAGAATGACACTGAAACTACCAAGAATCATGGACGAAACAACTTGTCAAATTAAATAATCCTTATACTGAAACTACCTTCTAACTTGAAATAAGACATGATCACAGTTCATAGCACTCTTATCACTATGAATTGGTTGCAGCTCGTCCTTATCACTGCCTCCCAAGCTCAATTCAAACATAATAGAGACCGTTATGTAAGATAACCATATCCTTACTGATCATAATTCCTTTCTTCACTCCATTTTTGTCGGAGAAAGGAGTTACCCCCCTCTCCTGCATTTCCCTTTCCCCCTCTTCTTCACAAACCGATCCCTAAACCAGCAACAACAACACAAAAATAGCCTTCGCCTCTGCCATCTCCATCTACTGAACGCGTTGGTGGCAAGACAGGACTGCAGAAGCAAAGTTTTCTAAAATCAAACCAAATTTTTTGAAGGAGACTCAACCACAAAAAAAGAGTAAAGCAACAATGCTAATAGTTCTGATGGTTGGTTTTGGATGTTATACGTTGCTTTTGTTATGGTCTCCAGTATATCAACTGCAACAGAGATGCTTCCTCCAATCATCTTTAGTGCACGATTTAGAAGTAAGTCCTCTTGTTTGTGTCAAACGGAAACATTCATGGGTTCTTAACTCCCCTGTTAGTGTTAATGCAGCAACAGCAGCAAAGAAGTTTGACAACACAGCAAGCACCCAGGCAAAATGATATAATGCAGTAGGTGATATGTGTCTCGAAGGTTTTGAGTTACTAAAGTTCATGTTAAAAATAAACATGAATTAAAGTGGATTATTCTATTAAGCAAACATCCCCTCTAATCATACAAAGATCATATATCCAATTCACAAACAATTAAGCCATAAAAAATCATCACACATCCACCACCTTTGATTGCCTAAATTAGGTTTTTCGCAAAGTTATGGACTCTTAAGGGTAACGTTCATGTGTAGTCTGTTTCATAACTCTAAAGAGCACAGTAAGCAGCCACCAGCCAGACACAGTGCGGTAGGCGAATATGATTCTCAATTCACAATTTCTCACCACCAGAAGTAAGAACAGACCATAATAAGCGTAGCGTTCATGGGTGGTCTGTTTCATAGCACTACTACACAATTTGTTAAAAAAGAAAGAAAGGTATTTAGCATCACGATGGAACAACTTTTACAGGCCAACAACGACAACATGCTGCAACCACCAGAACTGGTATCACAACTCATAGGGAAAATCAAAAGATTTACTTTCAATTAAGTAGTTACTACATCGAGCAATCGTCAAGCACATACACCATCACAAAAGTCACGGAACCTGATTCACAAAGCATTCAAACATTTGAGGACATTTCTGCAAAGGTACAACTTATATGTCTTTTTTCCAAGCCATTTCCATCAACATGCTAATAAATTTGCAATGCATAAAATAAACGGGCCAAAATTTTAAATTCAGCCTGTTTGACCGACCCATGCCAAATTCTAATTATTCTTTACTTTTAAACTTTCTATTTGAAAATAAAAAATAGTGAAAGAAAAGCGACGACTACAATTCGCCATTTGCACATCACTTATTTAGGAATAAAACCATAGAAATTCAAAAGGAACTGAAAATGTTTAGGATCATTTTAATGTTTAAAATAACCAAATAGATATTTATGTTTAGTTTTTTACTAACAAATACCAAACGATTCCCTATAAAATACACTATAATTTGATCATTATGATGTCAAATAATTATAAAATATATATTTGAAATGATAAAAATTGGACTAATTGGGTTGGTCGAGGTTGAACCATTGAATAACTTTAAAATATATTATATTTTAGCCACTAAGATATAAAATAATAGCATAATATATATTATGCCAGAGAAAATAGCTTGTTTTATAATGACAAACCAATGATGTTCATTTGTTTTACTTGATGGCCAAATCCCATGTAGGTCAGAACCATTCAACTCTTTTATTTTATGGTTAGCAGTTAGCCCATTAGATACCATTGTATTATTTTATTGTTAAATTTTTTATTTTTAACAATAAAAAGATGTATTATTTTTGCCTTTTCATATATATTTTATCACCACGGAGAAATAAAAGGGTATAAAGAAAAAAATTGACACTCCTGGACCTGTTTAAATCCGCATGTGTACGGTAAGTTGGCTCGTTCCACAGAGAAAAGAGAAAAGGTAAGTTGACACTCCTGGACCTGTTTAAATCCGCATGTGTACGGTAAGTTGACACTCCCTATTCTAGCCTTCCTACAAACACTCCTGCAGCAGGGAATTTGAAATGGGGGAAGAGTTTTTTCACCCTGCTATTATATATTTTTAATTTAAAAGGATACAACAAATGTACTTAGTGTGATTGGTTATGATCCTTGTTTTTCTTTAAAATGGTCATGGTTCGAATCCCAGTATGTATCTTTTTAATGAATAAAAAAAAGTAATTGTGAAGACCAAAATGTCCTTCCTACTTTCACTCTCGTTGCAGGAAATTTGAAATGGGGCTCCCGTTTTTCCCTTCGGCGTATTATAAGTATAGTAGATAGATAGATAGATATACTATAGTGTAGAATGATTGTATACATGATAGTATAAATATACGTACTAAAGCGTTATTGACCACTTTTCATCATTATTTACCGCCATTTACTGCCTTATACCAAGGTGGTACAGTCCTGAAATTTTTAGCCATAAATTGGCAATAATTCACAATATTTTTATTCTTTTTTGCAAAAAATTTCAAAATCTGAGTGAAAACGAAGGTGATAAATAGTGGTATCAGTGTGGTAATGAGTGGAAAAAAAAACAATTCAAAATATATTGAAAGTGGATTACATTTTTGAAATTCAAGTTAAAACAAAAATAATATAAACCAATTGCCATCGTGGTTGAAGCCAACTGAGAAAACCCCTAGCCGATTTACTAGAAATGAAATGTATGTTATCTAAAGATGTCGAGATTATTGTGTTTGTGATAATAATTGAGTTATTATTGTCCTTGACCAATTTTTTTCAATAATTGAGTTATAAAATTTATTATACCACAACTTTATTAGATTAGTGACATTAATAATAATTAATTAGGTGTCTATACTATGATCCCCACAAATTACTGATCTTGACATATGAAGATTAATGACTTTGTAGACCTTATTTGGAATAGATAAAATAAAAAATTTAGCATTACTAGCTTAACAGTTTTTTTATTAACAATCTAGGTCTACAATCAAATGACCAATCCATAAAAGTTATGTTAACTCCTTAAAATAATTAGATAGAATTATATATATGCAGAGCCAAAAACCTGCCGGCTGCCGTAGCGGGTCAATTGTGGAGAACCACCAAACAGATCGGTTGGAAGTGACATGTCTAGATAGTTAGGAGTAGAAAGGCCTATAAATGGCCATGTCCATTAATGTAGAAAACCATCAATGCTATGACCATTACATGTGTTGGGGGTATTACCCAGCGAGCTAGGGGACAAAGCCCAAAAGAGTAAAGTACCAAGAGCCAGGTGGCGGCCAACCGGCTGGTGGACCACGGCCTGGGGCGCCTGTCAGATGTCAGGAGTCTGACAGGGCGGTTAGCTGTCACATAGAGCATCAAAAGCCAGGTGGCGATCAACTGGATGGTGGACCACGGCCTGCGGGCGCCTGTCGTGTGTCAGGAGCCTGGCAGAGCTGTGGAA